AAAAGATGCCCCTAACACTGCCCACCTCGGTATTCAGCGCCTTCCGAGTGCTGGAGAAGTCCACAAGGATGCGCCGAACTCCGTCAACTGTGGTTTGACAGTCAAAAATATTTTTCGAATTTGTCACACCCTTATTGTTCTTGGGAGAGGGAGGAAATGAGTAAACCCGCCATCACTTTTCACTTTAATTTACTGCTTTTTAATGGGAAAATTGTTTACTGTGTTCTGTTTTCGATGGATTTGTGGTAGTAGTGAAGGCTTGTTCACTGCCTCATCGGTTGCACCGAGGTGGATTGAGCAGGATGTCGATGACAGGAAGTGCTACCTTCAGCGCTAACAAGATCCATTGCAGTGGAATATCTTCAGTAGAATTCGTCCAATTTATGGACGAAATGTCATGCGACTGCCAGGTGATGAAGGAAGTACTGTGGTATTCGGTGACGTCCACCCGTGGATAGAGGCGGGCGGATGGTTAAATGGATGCGTTGATGGGTGTTGAACAACTTTCTGTGCACTTTGAGTCTACTTGCATGTAAAAGATGTATCGGCTAAAATGCAGTGCCCTTCGAGTCCGACCACCTCATAATGAAGAGGTTATTCACTTCCAAGCTTGGAGGCGTTTGTCGTCCAAGTCGCTTAATAACTTCAGGGGATTATGCTGCAGCAGACTGATTGATTCTGGCGAGAAATCCACTTAAAGAGAAATGGATCCAGATCGAGAACACCCTCTAGTCATAGCAAATGAATGGGGATAGGGTGATATGATGGATGAGATAATGCAGTGCTTCACCCCATGCCAAGTTGGGGACTTTCTACCCCACCGGTTGTGTTACTTGTGCACGCTTAGGATGTGTCGTAACGTCAGCCTTCGACGGGAGAACAGTTGGCAAGAAGCAACTCCTTCCACAGTCCACCACGCACATGACCTGGGGGTGTTATGTAGGCGGTGGGTGAATTGTGGGTCACACAACAAACGAGTTAACTTCTGTTTGTAAGGGAGACCCAGAGAAAGTATGCTCAATTTAATCGACGTCTAGGCGAGTTCAAAAGACGAGGAGGCGAAAAAGTGTTCGGAGGAACGAAGCAATAATTAGTTAGTCTGCACAGGTAGGTTCGCTGATACCTTCTGGTTCCACACCTCCTTCGGTTGTGGTTAAGTCGTCTACAGCCTATAACCAGTCGAGGCCCAATTACTGCCTAAAACATCAGCAGAATTGGTTGGAGGTTGGAGGCAAAGTGAACATCACCGAATAGGAATTTTACCATGAAAATCAGTGGCAAGAGCTTGACACTTTGTCAACGATGTAGTTCTCCAGATCGTCACAGCTTTACCCCAAGAGTGCACAATGCGATGAGCTGTCAAAGCGCTGGAGGTACCAACCAACCAACCACACGGATAAACGAGCCTCCACAAAGAGTCTGATGAAGCAGGTCTGTGAAAACAATGTCTCACTACGTTTCACTGAATTAATAACATATTCTACTACGTTGGTTCCCAATTGGGAGGGAGTAATTGCAGTTCCTACTGTGATTGTAGTATTTTAGGCTTAAAATAATTCCGCCTTATTGTTATTGCGAACATGCTAGACGTCAACACGGTTTCCACTTGGGCAGTCATTTCCAATGTAAAGTACAAATCTACCTCACCATTGACAACGCAGACAACAATGAGATGACAAAACTGGAAAGTAGATAGGAAGTACCAACAAAGAGGGGAGAAGTTGCTGTTGAGCTTTAACGAGGAGAGGGAGGGTTGGCGACGTAGTGGAAGTAAGTTGAAAGAAGGTAAATCTGCCATTGGTTGGCCACAGAATACAAGGAATGTGAGTCGAAAGCGGCAGTGATTGGTGGATCAAAAACAAGCATAGTTCAAAGTTGGTTGGGTTTTGTGCTTAGAACAGGGGAAACGCCCATTTACCCATTATGAGTGCCGTATGGCTCACCAATGCATACTACTCATCATTGTCAGTAGGCAAATCCAGCCATTTATGCCTCCAAAAAGTGCTAAAAATTGCAAAATGCTTTACTTACGATTGCATTGCTCAAAAATTGTTTTGATCACATTTGTTGCCTTTGGTAATGGCAAGGGAAGGACTGAAATCAAGAAACTCTCCTCCAATTTGATCGGCCAGAAATGGGCCATTAGGAAGGAGGCGCAATTGCACATAACCAATCAAATGCTCGACTCAATTAACTTAACAACTTTCTGAGATATTAGGCTACTTTGGTTCCAAATGGGATTTTGACCTCACCACACTCTTCCCTTCATCAGAGCAGCCGATATCCCCTTCCTGATCCTCCCAATAAAGCTCATTCGAAGGCATTGCACAACCCTGTATTGTAGGCTGTTTACCGTTTAAGGTTCCCTCTCATCACGCAGCTTGAAGAGTAAAAGTATGACCAAGAAATCTCCTCCCTGATTCACTAGAACTGGCTTTTTCTCAAACAGGTGTTCTTTGCACACTTTATAAATTTAAAATCGGAAGCTGTGGACCCCTACATGTAATTTACGTTTGGCATTCGGCAGGTGTCGCTACAAAACCACCTCCGAATCCATTTCGCATTTGGCATAAGCCTGACACTCAACTTCCCAAGAGAAAATCGGGTGTGTGAAAGGCACGAATCCCTTTGTTCTTCTGCATCTAATTAAGTGAATTCGTGTAAACACATTCACTCTCCTATCCTGCGTCTTCTCTTTTTGAAAAGAAAACTTGCCGCCTGTGCTTTAGTTCACTTCAATGCAGAGACAGAAGTAAAGAAATCCACGGGGTGGTAAAGGAGAGATGTGTTGCCGACTTAATTCTTCACTGGAACAAACGAAGCCAACTTGCAGCATTGCAGACTCATGGAATGTGTGACTGTAAACTGACTATTTTGCTTCCGTCTGACCAAGCACTGGCGTTTAATGGGGTGTAGAACCGGTAGAGGCGAGTCAATGCCAAAGACTTAGGTGGACGCCATTTAAGGGGGCAAATACGGCCAATTTACTCCATCTCACCTCGGTTTTAGCACAAAGTGTTTGACTAAGTCCATGTACAAATTGCGTTGCTCATTCCGAAGAGGCAAAATAGTATTTGGGAATTAGGCGATTGCAAATAAAGGGGAATTGTAGATCCTCACGCGGAAGAGCGGGGCTAAAAGAGACGTGCAAAAAGAAGTTGGCAAGTTGGAAGCAACTGCGTGGATCCTATTAAGGAAAGCATTGCGAAAAAATAACAACGGATTTGAAGGTGACTGCACCTTAGTCAGATTTTGGCATCAGGTGCGGTGAAGTGCTACTGCCCTGTCTATGGAAGTCCGCCTACTTTGAACCCTCGCATCACGACATGCTGGATGCAGTCAAGTGAGATGCTTCGAGGCTGTTTGCGTATAGTGTGTAGATTGAATCCATTTCAATGTTGTATAGACTTCATGTCAAATCTGTTAACCGGAATTGTGAGAATGTAGAGTATGCTATGGCGGATTTCACCACATAGAAGTGGTTCATGTGTCTTAACGGGGATGAGTAGGTGGAGAGGTAGCAGCAGGACCATCAGGGAAATCCTTTACTCATAATTATAAAGAAGTGCAGTGAGTCGTTATTAACTGCAGTAGCTCGGTGCGGACGTGTCCCAATCTTTGGGTCAGTTACGCACTGCGACAGTGATGAGGCAACCACTCCTTCACGTCCACACTCACTGCGATGGTCTAGAAGCCCATGCATTGGCACCTGATGACAAGATGTTCACTTGGAAGGCTGTCCATTTGTTCTGCAGTCCATCTGTATTCGTTGTAAGAGGTCACTGCGTTGTGCGCTGATTGGGTGTTCAGCCAATCGACCCACTGACCCACCGAGGGGCTTATGATAAGACATGACATTCTATTTCATTGTAATGCAAATTGACTGGCTATTGGTTGTCCTTCAACAATTATCTCACTGACTGTCCACCCAACACTTTTGGGGCTGGCCTGCCTACATTTGTGCGGTGGATTGTAGACAGATTTGTCCACTACAAATAAGTCACTTGCTGTTGACCAGACAGCAATTACGGGTGAGATCAGCACCTCTGTCCGTCTGTCCGTCCGTCTGCCTGTCTACTCGAGACACCAAGTAAATGCGCATGACAAACTGGCCAAAGCGAGTGAATCAGTGAGAAGAAAAACCACCTTTTGCAATAAGACACAAAACTGTAGTTGTCAAATGCATAGACCACACCAGCCACTTAATGATCTCCCTGGAGGGAGAGGAATGGGAAGAAAAGAAGGAGGAAGGGAGGGAAATTAAGTAATGAGGTCATTCGACTATCTCACGCCATAATCTACCAAACGTATGCCAATAGGTCAACTCTTATTTAATAAGTGACCAAACCTTCCTTGTTTAGTAAAAAGCCCTACAAGCCGAGCAGTCGTCATGACTTTTCACCTCAGTGGGATGAGCGGTTGCGATGGCAAGAGTAGAAGGGAATTGAGACACCGTTCCGAATGACGTCGTAGTAGTGCCTAGCTAAAAATGAATGCGGACAAGACGAGAAAGAGTGAGGGAAAGAGGTGGAGAGAGAGGGGGAGGGAGAGCGAAGCAGTCGCGTTGGTATGCAATCGTGTTCAAACAGGCGACATTAATTAATTCCTACAGGAATGCAAACTAGAGATGCCGGGGACAGCCTTCTTACAAAAAAGCGTTGCATACAAACATGTTGAGGTCTAAAGGAGTCGAGGGGTAACATCCGCCTTTCTGCCAATCACAGTAATGCTGAGAGCATAGGCAGTCAAATATCATCAGATCGGTCGACTATGCAATTAAATCAAACTCATTGTTTACTTCAAGGAGTCGTGGACAGTCGGTACAAATCCCTGCACATCTGGACACAAGATGTAGTGGCTGGCGTTTCGGGAGAAGCCCGAATAGATGGACAAGTGTTATGGTGAGGCCTTAATTGTTTCTTTACAACCCCTTCCATTTCACCCACAGCCTGCACGACATCAGGGGGTGGGGGAGAGGGGATGGGTTGTCGAGACGTCAAACATTCAAGCTGCAACGCAGTCTTCTACTGAACCATCCTGGACTGCTATTTTCGAGTTAGAGTACTTGTATCAGCAATTATGCGTGTTCGGGCAGCATGACTTGACGAAAATGGAGCATTTCGTCAGACCTCAGAGTAGGCAGAAGACGACTGAGTGAAGAGAAGCGACAGGGTGGGATTTGGGGAGTCGTTGAATTGACTTAACAGTGGCAGAGGACAATAGCGGTGTCAACGCAGCAATAAAGTTCAACAGAATGTGGAGAGAGGCGACTGTGCCACCACAAGAGTGCAAAAGTCCAAAACTGCTCGTGACACAGTCCTAAGGACTCAAAAAATGACTTCCACTTCCAAAAGGTGTGCTGCTTATGAAGAGCCATGGGGTAAACGCGGCAACTGTATCATAGCATCCCTCGATTAGGAAAAAGCATCTCTTGTAAAAAATAGACCTTTCTTCAGCATTGAGAAGAACGGCATCATCTTCGTAAGGACGGGAGGTTGTTGCAACTTCCCAGTTTGCCTAGCGATTCAACAAAATCTCGGGTGAAGAATACGACGCACGTGGCTTTTTCGCCTTTCTCATGCTCCTAACTAAAACTGCAGTCCTGCGCATTTTGATGGTGGGGAAGATTATCAATTTTTGATGAAAGGGAATTCCATTCCAATGGTTGGGAATTTCGAAGAATGTTCCAACACCGCACTCTCCCGTTCCATATCACCTCCTCGAAAGAAAGTGTTGGTGGGGTGGCTATGAGCATGGCCGAAAGGTAAAAATGGGATATGCGGAACTGACATTTGGGGGAGAGACTCAATGCTGTCGCAGCGTCAACCGCCTGGAAACAAAAGGTACTTTGAACTGTTGATTTAAATGCGTTTTAATAGCTTCGCCTTTATCTCAACCAGAGAAACCATGCCATTTCCATCGCCTTATTCAAAACCACTAAATTTTCTTACTTTTCAACGATCAAGTTTCCACAAAATAGGACAAGATTCTGCTAGAAATTCACAGAAGGGCGCAATTAACAAGTAATTCGAACGAGTAGGCCTGCGTCTTGCATTCAGATATGGAAGATGATTGTTAAGCTAGGAAACATGATATGGTCTCCTAGGGGGGGCATCATCGACTTCAAAAGGCCTTCGTCATGCGTTCTTCTTAAAATCACAAGTTAGAATCACTTTGCCGCTAATTTTAGGTCACTGCTGAGGGAAGCCCCGAAAGGCACGCCTAGGCAAACAAGAACATGATGTCACCTCCCCTTTCCAAGAGAAGACACGCACAATCTTGACTTGCTTGAAGATCCATAACCATAAAATGCATTGTAGGGGCTAAATTTAGCAGTTTGGATTATTACAATACGCCTGGGGAGGCAGAAAACCATGAAAACGATGTGAAATCTGTCATATTTCAATGTCAGTAACAAGTCAAATTTGACCAATCAGGTGCAAGTCCGTAACCGATCCGGATGTAGGGAATTAAAATATTCTATTAAAAACTGTAGAGCCATGGTTTTAAAGGCAAAATTACTAAGTCTTGTCTGATCTACAATAAAGTGTGTTTGAAGAAGATAATCCAACAAATGGCAGACTTAATACTCAGTGTCTAACCACTAACCAATCAAATTCAGGCCCTCTGCAACACTGCAATAGGGGTGGCAACACCGCATTAAAGTGAAAAAACACAAAAAAATTTACTTTATGGGAATATGACGAGCATAGATCCGCAGTAGTAACTCCTTACGAGAGAAAGAAAGATGTTTTAATGTTTGAACAAGTTTTCCCGAATAGTTAAAATGCAGGGCAGCAGTACTTTCCTTCCCACTAGACTGACGATGTCATCTTTGTATCTTTTTGGGGCTTTGGCCAGCCAATGAAGCGTGACAGAGGGGCAAATTCAACTTAAAACCAAGTAAAGATCCTTACGAGGAAACGCCAATTGTGCTTTTGCAATATTAGAAAAGAGGTCACAAAAGAGGTTTTGCCAGGGCTGGATCTACTCACCTGTTGTCCAAATTTTACCCTAGGAGGGGATTAGGGGCAGGTAAGGGAAAGTGAAAGAGCATCTCACCC